ATGGAGTCTGTCTCCAAAGCCAAGGTACAGAGTTTCTGTCAGGTTACTGCCCTATGATACATGACCTGATACATGATTTTGAACCTTCTGATTACATTTTGCTATCACACACAGTTGCGTTGTTTTTCATCATGAGAACAACATGCTAGAATTTAGTGATAGTCCTCTTTCCTTACATGTATTTGACATATAGGCAAACCTGGAGAAAATGTGTCGCACTCTGGAAGACCAGCTAAGTGAGATTAAGACAAAAGAAGAAGAGCATCAGCGCATGATCAATGACCTCAATACTCAAAGAGCTCGTCTGCAGACAGAAGCAGGTAACACACCCCCACACCCCTCCTGAATGGGAGAACGTGTAACCGATGATGACAAGAAAAAGAGTGATGTTTTACTCAAATTGGTGTATACTCTGTCAACTGGTATACAGTGCTTTAAAGACACATTAGTTTGGTATTGCTTTTTAAATTACAGTCTATCTGTAAAATTTCTCAGGTGAATATTCACGCCAGGTGGAAGAAAAAGATGCTTTGATATCTCAGCTATCCAGAGGCAAACAGGCATTTACTCAACAGATCGAGGAACTAAAGAGACATTTAGAGGAAGAAATAAAGGTAAAGGTACTTCCTGTAGGGGGTTTGACTTTGGATTCCGATTCCATTTTCTTTCAGAATATTTCCTACTCTCATGTAAAATCAGAATATGTTAGCCATATCATTTTAATTTGAGAGCTCTCAAACTAGATGGACAATTTGCCACCTCCCTCTCTAGTGTGCGAAGAAAACTTGAGGAGAGCATCGCCTCCAACCTGGATACTGAGACAGAGAAGGACAACTTTAGGTCTTTATTCAGATTAATGGTGGCATACAAAAAAAGGTTGAGATATATCTAAAAAACTGCTTATTTTACTTTTCCATAATGGAAGCTGAAACTTTAGAACATACTAAAAAGGCTTCAACAATTCCCAGCTTTATAGTTGTCATTTAGACAACTCTACCATCATCTTCTAGATTCTGATGAATGAAGAGATAAGAAGCTGCTCAGAATATGGAATCAATGTACCTTTTTCCCTTGGGCTGACGTTAACTGTCAGATTCAGAGAGTTTTCAGCAACTTTCCCTAAGTTAACATTCTATATTCTTACAAGCAATTGTCCCAATCCATTGTCCCAATCGCATTGTCTCCCCAGGCCAAGAACGCCCTGGCCCACGCCTTGCAGTCTGCTCGCCACGACTGTGACTTGCTCCGGGAACAATATGAGGAGGAGCAGGAAGCCAAGGGGGAGCTGCAGCGTGCTCTGTCCAAGGCCAACAGCGAAGTGGCCCAGTGGAGAACCAAATATGAGACAGACGCTATTCAGCGCACGGAGGAGCTGGAGGAGGCCAAGTACGTGGTGATAAGATGTGAAGAAGCCAGGGGGGACTAAAAATTCAAAGGAGACGTTGGAAGAGACACACCAAAATATTCTGAGGAATAAGTCATGGATTTGCTTTGGGGAAGTGTAACAGAAAGTGGGAATCTTTATCCTATAAAAGTTTTAGTGCTTTAGTAAAAGCAAAGGCTAAGAACAGCATAAACGAGGCCCTTCGCTCTGTGTGACTGCAGAAAGCAAAATGGTTAAGAACGGCCTTGTAAAACTGTGAGCTGTGCTTACCACTTCCCAGGAAGAAG